TCAGAGATTAGGGTGGCTCTTTAAAATCAGTTTAAAAAAAAATTAAAGTAGGATTCCTAATTTTTATTTCCAGCTCTACCACTATGGGACCAGGTAGATCCAGCATCTCCCAGGTCCTCCACCTGTAAAAAGAATTCTTACTAACTCCAAAAGGATGCAGTGAGGCTTCATGTGGGAAAAGAGCTTAAGGATCATACTGAAAACCATTAGATAAAAGTAAAGAATTGCTTTAAAATATCATACAAATAGAATACAATTTCTTCCCCTAAAACCATATTAAGTGTAATGAAGTTAAGAATGCTAAATTTTTTAACTATTTTTCAATTGAAACATTTTGCGCTCATTCAAATTGCAGATTCAATATGCATTTTTTTTTTTTTTACCTAGTCCCTCCACAGATTATTCAATCCAAAAACATTCTCAAAGTAAAAATTTACTTCTGACAAATGTAATCTAATATTTACAAGGAAACTAGCAAACTTTTGACATTTTACGTTATTCCTGAAATGCAGTGTTTACAACTGGCCTTCAAGAATGGTTTTTACTATTTGTAAGGATACCTCTCTACAGCGGAATTACCGTAGGTCGGTGAGGGCCAAGCTTTTTGATAGACATGCTGTTAGCCGCACACCCTCCCTAAGTGCCACGCCAATCCCCTTCCCCTGCCTGATCTTCTGCCCCACTTTCTGCTCCCTGTCTGATTTGCTGCCCTGCTTTCCTGCACCCACTACATTTGCTGCTTTGCTTTCCTGCTCTAACTGCCACCAGTTGCTGTCTGTCCCCTCTCCAACCTGATGCATGCCGTGTACAGAGGCTGCCCATGCCACAGGTTGGCTACCCATGCCTTAAGCAATTGGTCCAGATACCTGGGGCTATGGACAAACATCTCTCTTAAGGGCTTTGAAGAGGGGAGGAGAGCTGCCACTTGGAAGCATGCATCAGCTGCTACAATACATATTGCTACAGAACAGGCAAGTTAGCCAATTCACTGCAACCCTCAGTTACAGACTTGTAACATGCTTGCTACACCTGTCTCATTACAGAAGCAAGCATTAACAATTACATGCTAATGGCTTATATCAGTAGCCTTTGATATCGACATAATGGTTACACACGCCTATACACTGGGTTAGCCAGCATGGGTGTGAACTAGCTGCACTACCAAGTTATAGCCAAAGCCAAGTTACTGAATCTAGTAAAGCCCTGTACTCACCTGTTACAGTGCTGTATTTCTGGAGGAACATTCAGTGATTCTTAGCCCTACAACAAAATAAACTGCTGTATTTTTTTCCAGTTAATTGTGGGAGAACTTCTTTGTCCTTCCAGAAATTCTACAGAAATTGTATGGAAGCACCAAAAGACTGTCAACACTTGCATGGTTAAGCCTTTGTCTTTGTTACAAAATTGAAGCATTAGCAGCCCCAATTGAAAGAGCTACCTGAGCTCTGTCTTACAGCCCTAAATGCAACAGCTAGCCTAAACTGACAGCATCAAGCTCAGGTCAGGGGTCTTTGAGTAGAAGGGAGTACTGAAACAACTTCCCAGGAATGAAAAGTGAAGACATGTCCTAAGCAATTACTTTCTAGCTGTCTATACATTCTTTGAGAAGGGTATCAGTTTAGCTATTTGACAATTGAGATCAGCAAGTATGTACCTTCTCAAAATTAGTGGCAATGAAAAACAGAGAGTCAACCATCAAAAAATACTCTTGAAGTGAGACCAGTTCTTTTAGGTAATAAGTTATTAATGCCTTCTTTTTTTTTTTTTTTTGGGGGGGGGGGGGGGAGGAGAAGGAAGAAATGCAGTAGGACCTCAGAAGTACATTCAGGGAACTCTCTATTCCTAGAAATAAATGTTAAAAAATTTTTAAAAAATAACAAAACACATTTTGAGCCATAGTTAGCCTGTTTCAAAGTGCCTGCATTCTACAGAGTAATTTTCACAACACTTAATACACCCAGGATCTGCTGTTCTTTTCTAATCTGTGATTTTGTCAAGATCCATAAAAATGTCAGTGTTGGTAGAAACAGATGAGTCACCTATTTAATAATTTAGGCACATACTGCTTCTGCAAGAAAGATTCAGTTAAATACAAGAGCGCCAAATATTCAAAATTTTAGATTTTTCATTCTCAATCTATAGCAAATAAATTCACTATTTTGGTACTTTTTGTAATTGTGATCAATACTAATGAATGTCACGACTAAGAACTCCAACACCAGCCTACTCTGTCCCACCACATCCTTCTTTTCATTAGTTCTCCAAAAGGAAAGCAGGGGGCGGGGGAGGGAACGCCACTCAGAGCATGATCTGAGCATTACCAAACCTACTTACAGAAAGCATGACAGACTATGCCTCATCAAGAATGCCCTTCCATTTAGCCACTTCTCCTTAACTTAAGGGCTGTTAATTTGAGCACCCCAGTTCAGTACCTCTCTCTCTAAATCATACTATGTAAGATGTTATCTCCAAAAGAACCAGAATTCAACCCATTTAGGGATTCATGGGTGAAAGCCTTAACCTTTAGTACTAACTCAATCCCTGACCAAAGCTTAAGATCACAGAGCATAGCATAACATGCTTCTCTTTGTGAAACACCATTCAATAAGCAAAATGCTATATCTGCTGGAGTTGCAATTATTGAAAAGAAAAGGTGAAACCCCATGTAGATTTCACTTTAATAATAATATAATCTGGAAGTGAGCACATGCTGTGGTAAGGCACGGATACAAAAAACACATTTTGCAACTTTTACCAAGAATAAATGGTAAAAGAGCACTCTAATTACGAAAACTACTACTACCACCCCAAAAATCCAGAGGAAGCCAAAACCAAAACAGAAGTTATGCTGTGTTGGGGAAAGTGTACTTTCAGTAGAGCACTTCACAGGCATCACAGAACAGAACAGCCCCTGCCACACCTTGTCTCTGGGGCCCCTACTCCTGTGACAATCTGCAAAAAAGCAACAAGGGTGCTATGAGTGGGTGCAGAAAAACTGCATGCACAGATTTAGATGCACGGCCATCTCAGAACATGAAAACAGACACACACAAAAAGAAATAGCGAGAAAGTTGGGGTTCCCCACAAGTCCCACCAGATAACAGGTAAATTGTTTAAGAGAAACTCTGCCATTTTTTTCTGTTGCTCTCCTATCCTAACCCAACTACTTTTTTGGGTTGAGCCCCACAGGTTAGCGAGCTCCCCTCTTCTAGTCTAATATTTCAAGGACTAAGCCACCCGAATATATGATCTGATTTAGATGAGAAGAAAAAATGTGTACTCGCAACTGCCAATCTTCACAAGTTTATGGCACATCTAGCAGAGAGACTCTCTCTTCACGACACAGGATTTCATAAAAAGTCTCATCTTTCACTTAAAAAAAATGTTTCTAAGCCTTAGGGTTGCAGAAAAAAGGTTGATAATCTGACCAACATAAAAGTTGAACCCAAAGAAAGAAATAATAATAATAATAATAATAAAATAATATCTCTTCTCTCTCTCTATAAAAGTGTAATGATTTTTAGATCAAGTCACTTGATTTAAAAATCCGTTTGGGGGCACTTGTTACACAGCTCATGAACACTTGGGGTTGCGCATCGAAGCCTCCTACACATCTGCAATTTTAACATCCCAGAAAACCCTAACAAATTCAGAGTAGTGAAAAACACAGCTTTAATATATTTTCAAATAAATCTTAGAACCCAACTATGAAAAAATCCCTATATAGGTTGTGTATTTTACCAGTTTAGATTACACAGACAATGGTTAAAGTAAGCTCTACATTACACATTAAATGAATTGCTCATTTAGAAAACTTCATATAAATGGATAAGAACTTTTATAGCGTATGGAACTCAATTATTTTTCTGAATAGATCCAATTGTATACATAATATAGCCAGATATAAAGTTGAGGAATGGTTTTCTAAAGGTAACAGCTACATGTATTCTTAACCCACACTAGAGTTAAGGGGGGAATATAATAAGAAGGAACAAAACTGCCTACATACTTTTTAGTGAGAAAAAAAGATGTGGAAAGGTTTTCCCATGTAATGGAAGGCAGCATGTGTTAGAGCAAGTACATTAAAATTCTCTAAGAGAAGTGTTACAGCCAGGTTGCTACTTCCTCTCTGTAGGACCTAGACATTTATACTGAAACTGACAGAATGCATCAAAATAAACTCAGTTTAATGTTTAACATTTCACCTTAGACTATTACAACACACTAGCTGTATTGCAATGGGAAGTACAACTTCAGAGACAGGTTAACTTAAAACAAATAAACAAAACAAAACACCAGACACAACAGCACCCCGGAAAAACTATGAAACTTTACAATGCAAGTATCCACCTTCTATTAAGCTATGCTTACAAAAGCCTCCTGTAGGTACCAGACTGAAGGGCTTCCAAAACATAAATAAGTAAATAAATCCAGGGGGCTGCATTTCAAGAACTTCACTACACGTGATCCTAGCCTACAAGAGGCTGAGAAGCCCCAAACCCAACCCAATCCGTCCACCCCTTTGGGGGGGGGGGGGGGGGGGGGAGCAGCACAACCCTTAGGACCAAGTAGATTTTTACACCTGTATAAATCAGTAACTGTCCTGTTCAGGGTCACAAAACCCAGCCAGCGACAAAATCATATGCAGGAGGCTCTTCGTCCCCTAGAAGCTGAAGGGACAAATGACTTTTACACCTCTCCCAGCAATTCTCAACCCTGTGTATGGGGGAGAACACAATGGGACAACATGAAGTACCCCAGGGTGCCTGCGGACCCTTTCTGGGGTGCTACGCAGCATACACCCGCCCTTAGGTGAGCAGACACGAACCCCACCAGAGGGGTGCAGGGGGACTCGGCAGCCTTACAAACGCCACGAGCCGAGGTTTGCAACAGCAGAGCTGCCCGGCCCCTTCTCTCGGTGGCCGATCAAGGGGGGGCGAAGGGGGGGCGGAGGTGGAAACTGTGGCTGCCGGACAGGCTGGTCCCTCCGTTGAACCCACCTGTCCTCCGAGTCCATGCGGCTGAGCGGCTCCCCGTCCGACGACATCTCTAGACTGCCGCG